TCAACGAGTCGCTGGCCTTAGTAGCTGGGTCTTTCCTCGAGATAGATATCGCGATATTTTGTAGAATTCTTATGCATGCCGATTGTTACGATCGTTTCATTTGTTTCAGCTTTGAAACGAAAGATCCTAATCACGATCAAAAAGACATGTTCCTCAAGATATTGTAATCTATGTTTCAAGCGTATCGATCCAATCGCTTTACAAATGTTTAACGTGTTATTTAACTCGAGCGAAGTAAGTAAATTTGTTCATTTGCAAAGGAAGGTAAACGCAGTTCTCTACCATAAACGAAAACCAGCAAGAATCGTCTGTTATTCAGGTGCACAGAAAGTGTGCACAGACTGTAAAGTCAGCTCGGTGCGTTCACACGTTGAATGGATGACGCGTTTCGCCCCCGGACTCCCTAAAAATTTTATAGTTTCCTCGTCCCTGTACGAGGAGAGAGGCTATGAGAGATACGTGATACGTGTCGTATCGTCGAGGAGGATCGCGCGCGAACGTGGTTGGGCATTAACGCGACTCGAAAACTCCACCGACTCACGTGCATCACCTCTGTGTCGACCGTGGATCCTTCTGGGAATACAAATTGGACGTTTCTCGTGTTCCATCGGACGCCATGAAACGGTGGTAGACGCGTGACTAACGGTAATCCATGGCATATTCGCGAGTTACGAGGCTCGCTCGTTTTCCCGGGTTATTTCATCGTTTGTAAACGTGGAAAGTGCTATCGCGAATCGTGCGCGCTCGTCACGGTTTCGTTTTCGTTCGAAACATGCCGTTGAATCGAGTTTGGTCGTGTTTCGGTCACCATTAGCCTTTGAATAGGTTAGCCTCTTTGTTATAGATTTTAGATTTAACGTTTCATCGTATGTGAATGAATCGATGATTCTATACAATTCTGTAATAAAAGAAAAGAATTTGTCTATTAGTTGTTTTTAGGTACTGTTTACAAATTGTTTGCAAGGTAAAATTGCAATCACGAATAGTAAATACCGTCTGTTCTTTTTGCGCATAGTATTCATAAAGATCAATAATCATCGAAAGGAAAATTATGCACCCCCGTTTTGCTGATGGCTTCCAGGCACGCAATTTGATATATCATCGACTAAGATTTCGTATATTTAGCTTCACGAGTCTAAACTTACCAGTAACTTGACGATCAATGTGGTCTAACGTTTCTAAAAATATTTGCTTAATTCCATCAATTTAATATTTCGTTACTGTACGCTCTGATCGAAGATTGAAGCAGATTTATTTTACACTTATGTGGGTTATTTATTCGTTTAAAAGCGTTGCATTAAAATCATTGTACTCGTCTGTATAAAAAAAATTTAATTGGTTCCATCGTAGAAATTTAGAACTTAATCCTCAAGGTTTATGAAACCTGTTCGAAGAGATCGTAGTAGCGTTCCAGTCTTTCGTCATTTTTATTTGTAATATTTCTTTTTTCAGTTATATCTTATTTGAATAATTTCAAACTATATTAATATTCGATACACGTGCGTCCTCGATGACCATGAAACACGTAATAAAGCAGTGGGTAAAATTGCTGATTTATACGTAACAGCTTTCTTGTGTAAATGGATATAAAGAACAGTTTAACGACACTCATTTGTGGAAACATTAATGAGCATTCTTCGAGAAAAAATGTATACACATATCTGTTCTCATATATTTTCTTAAGTAGCGTCGTAAAACAAAATAAGATTAAGCATGAACGAAAGGAATTGTATATTAACAGAGCAACGAATAACATGATAATTATCAAAGTTTCAAAATGTATCCTACGACTTACTCGGCTCGATTTTCCTTCGTACAAGTTCCATTTCCACCTAGAACACTAGTGAAACTTCTACCTTAGGGACAATTGTACTTTACTCGCTTTCAACGCTCGTTTAAACTAGTTCGAGGAGGATTACCAATAAAACGTTATCATAGATAACGTAAGATGGTGTGCTTTCTGCACACCATTTTCCACCGAGTTTCCCCCAGCTCGCATAAAGTACCTTCCGTGGAACTTCCGTTCCCATTGTTATCGTTCGTTGGTCAGAACCTGCCGTGCAGAAGCATTGGTTCTTGGCTGATCGACGATGTTAAGTCTGCCAACAATTGGACCTCATTGTTAAGCAGATGAGTATTCGGAAACTGTGAATGGTTAGTTTTCGGCTAACAATCGATGATTAGCGACCCATGGTCTGAACTACAGCCAGCGCCAAAGATTTAACCTTCCAAGGTAGTTTTCCCTCTCATTAGGAGTTCTATCAAATGCACTGTGTAATGGGAAGGTTTTCGCGTCATTTGTTTCGTCGTATTTTATATTCGTGTTATTTGATTCAAATGTATCAAACATTTGCACGATACTGTAGAAAAGAAGACACGAAAGAAGGAATTAAATATTATTTTTGTAATTATATTTGTATAGAATAAAATGAAGCAATATAGTCATTTCGGATAGCTGGAAAATTATGAACAATTTAAGATAATCGCAATTTTTCTATAATTCACTTCCGATGAGATAACAAAAATTGCAGAATAAAAAGTATATTGTTTTGTAAAATGCATTGTACGTTTACGTGATGTAGAAGCACATCGGGTTCTTTTCACTACCAAGAAGTTGAACGTCAGCACGTTAGAAATTCGATGCGAGCCACGAATGAGAATCCGATTGATAAAGTTAGTCCGAGTTTCTTGGGTTTCCTATTCGTGGTAGCCGACGCGCAGATTCGCGTTCATTCGCGTAGCTCGACAATCCCGAACAAGATACCGTCACATTCCATATCGACTCTGTCATTCCTTCTGTCAACCTTTGATGGAGTTTCTGAATGCTGCTGATATGTATACTCTGTGTTCAGCAAATGGGTTTGCCTTTTGTTCGAAGAAAAAAAGCAAACGACCTGAGTGATCTAGATATTGTCTGTAAAATAATATCTTTAGATCGTAGCTAATGACTTGATTGCATGTATATAAAGTACAAGTAGTATAAGGTACGTATATATTAAAAACGTCTAAAAAGGAAATTAATATCTTCTGTATATATCTTCATACAAAACTCCTTACTCGTTTAAACAACTATTTAATGTTTGTTGCAATAACATTGGGACATAAATTAATGGGAAAAATAGATCTCGCAATAATAGCAACTAACAATGTCTATTGCCTGGCTTATTTATTTTTCTGCTCCATTAGCTCGACACCGTATGATCCGAATTAGAAGCGATCTTGACACTAATTCGCAAGTAACTGATCACCTCGATAATCCGTGTTCGTCGGATCTTTTACGCCGATATACGTAGCTTGTTTAAGATACAATGCGTATCGCGTATTCGTTTCAGGTAAAACGCTGGAAAGGGTTTCCAGTATTTAGAGTGCCTGCACACGTGCCCTTAGTTGCACTCGTGATGCTCGCAGTGGAATGTCTGTCGTCTTCGGACGATTCGCAAGAATTTCATTCTCAGTTGCTATTCGCTAATTGCGAGTCGTATTATGAAAGGAGAACACTCGACGAATGTGATCTTTTTCCATGGTGAAATAATCGTGGCAAATTTTTAAAACGTTTCTTTTGAATCTTTTGTTCCACAATTACACGCTTTGTTGTATATTAAATAGGATTGAATATAGATAAAAGAATGGATTTCAAATGGCAAATGAAAACGAAATAAGAAATTGAAAGTTATGTTTCGAAGAATCACTCTAGAAATGATAGACGATAAGAATTTTGTGGCTAGTTACGAATGTCGGTTGCATAATCCGTTTAAATAATTTCCATCGAGCAAAGAAATCGACTCTTGCCTTTACCGACTATGAGCTAATTTCATTAATTATCTTAACGAAGTCGATATTATCACGCGCGGCTAACGATCCACGATAATTATCGCGCTATACGAAGGAGGATATTCGAGTCTCGAGGACTGTACCTTCTACGTTTCGTATGCGATATTTCCTGGAGGATCGTTACAGCAAAAATCGTTGAAAAATAAACGACGAAGGAAGTACAAATGGCAACACGGAAACGTTCGCTAGCTGAGACGAACTTATTACCGTTGGAACTTATGACCGTCGCGTCGTATCGTAGAAATGTAAAGAACACGATACTCGATATTCTTTTCTCCGTTTCTTAGTAGAGGTACTGTTCAGTGTAACGAAGATTGAAATATATTAATCGATCGAAACGATTAAAAGTATTGGCCCACGAAACGAGACGAGAAGGTAATTAGATTTCTAATCGATAGAGCAAGAAAATTTAACGCGAAAAATCGATGATTAACGAAATAAGTATAGCCTAGTCGGAAATTTGATTTTTCGTAAATTTGATCGTATCTCGGTATCGTAATATTTTATCTCAAAGAATAATCAATTTTCTACTTACATACGCGAGGGAAATGTTAAAATACAACTTTCCCGAAACCACTAATTACAGCCTATAAAATACCAAAACACTCGCCTTAATGTTATTTTTCTCGATTGCCAGCAAATTGGTTAAAAAAGAAAAAAAGAAAAGAAATCATTTACTGACGCGCACGAACGGCGTGAACAAATTCCAAAAACAGGCATCGACCGGTTTACAGGCAAACGATCTACGGATGCAATTAAAACCGTTCGTTTCTTCGTCAGCCAAGGACTTTCGCCTCTGTGTTGCACGAGGTCAGGTACACGAGTCTCGCGGGTCCGAGGCCTCGTTTCACATTCGAGGAACACGAGCGAACGTGCGGTTACCAGATGACCGTACAATCGTGCGGGTAATTAGCGCGGAACTGGTTTCATCGTCGGATCGCTCATAATTCGTGTCCCGACCATTAGCAGTTTTCCTGCGATCGTAATCGTTGAACACGATCCTTCTTTTAGCGTACCAACGTGGGATATTCACTTTTACTCTCTTTATCTGCTATCTATCCTTTATTCTTCTTTGTCCTTTCCTTTTCTTTGCATCCGTTGCCCGGCTCCTTTGTTCTATATGGTTTTAAGTCGATCAATCGAGTTTATTTGTTGTTCCTTTGTCGCAGATTCTCAGGATGTCGATCTGGATGCTATCCTCGGAGAGCTGTGCGCTCTGGAGCGCCGCTGCGACGGCGACATCGCTTCTACACCTGCACCCGATTCGCAGAGACAGGGCCGACCTAACAGCACCAGAATCACTGCTGGGGACAATACCGATATCGGGAAAAATGAAGGAGGTTTGTTTATTAAGAATTTAATTTATCGGACGAGCTTTCTTCTTTGTCTTCCTTCTTTTAATGACTCGTGTATTTTCGACCAATCGCGGGGAGACGCAATCGCGAGGAGAGACGTCAACGGGAGTCGCAAATTCCCGTTGCGATTATAGTAATCGACACCACGAGTTGATCGATCCCCTGATTTCCGTTAAGATAATAGGGGCGATTCAGTTAATATAACACCTAAGTTACACCATAGAGTAGATATAATTCCTAGATGACACTTTGGCGCACGAAGATAAGGAGGTAGATATGCACAGTAGAGCAAGGCTCTTGGAGTTGAACTTAGTATGTTAGTGGACGTAGCACTGGAGGATACTTAATAGAGGAAGTGAGTGTTCGTGCTTAGACTTAGACGTTAGGCGTTAGATTTGTACCTAGTTGTTGACTTTTCTAGCGGTGTAGAAGAAGTAGTTGACTTTCTTAGCGGTGTAGAAGAAGTAGTTGACTTTTTTAGCTATGTAGAAGAAATAGTTAACTTTTCCAACGGTGTAGAAGAAGTAAAGTTGAGTGACGATGCTGTGTCGGAGGAGAGCTAGCGATAGGTGTGTCTAGAGCACGGGACCATCGGATTTGTTCATGACATTTTTGGTCAGGAAAGTGAGGGCAGTATACATTGCTTCTGATTGGATAGACGAAGGTTGGTGGACTAGGAAGGTCTTAGCCGCCCTCGATAGAAAGTTGCTAGTAGGAAGCATCGTACGTGAGAAAAATTAACTTTCCCTTGTCAAGCCGTGGTAGACCATAGTGTTTTAGAAATGATTCGGAAAAAAGATATTTGTTGGGTCTGAAGGACCTCAGCTGACAAATTACTAGGATTTATGATGGGTCTGTAAGACTATTGAGGGTACGCAGCAAGGATGAGCGGACATCTGGCTCCCGTCTGGTCCGCGGTGTATGGCCTGGTCTAGGTAGAAGGTCGCCCGATGTAACAACTCCAGTGTAATTATTGAATTATTTCGCGAAGATTCGCGAAGATGTGGAATAGAAATTTCGACTTTTTACATTCTTCGAGAAGATTCGAGAGTGATTAGATTATCTGGCTAAATAATTTTATCGATAAGTAGTAGCATTATTGACGATATGGTATTTCTGAATTTTTATGTGCTAAGAGAAATATCCAAGATAAAATTGTTATCGTATAGCGATATCAACTTTCTAGAATGAAGACATTTAAATAGAATTATTGAATCAGTAAAATTTACTTTCTATGGCTAGAGCCATTCAAACATTCCTATCCGACGTTATCTAATTTGCAGAACACTCAAGTACGGTTAGGTGAAACAGTTACTCGAAACTTGTAATTGCAAAGCTGTTTGCAGTTGTACCTCATGCATTGTTTAACAGCTGTCAAATATTTGTTCCAGCTATGCGCACCGATAGTCCTGACAATGACAGCGCGTTCTCGGACACGGTGTCGATGCTATCCAGCGAGAGTTCCGCGAGTAGCAGCGGTTCCGGACACAAACCACCTCAGACCGCCATGCACACAGGTCCTCAGCAACAATCTCATCAACTCATGGGTGAGTTTCGATGCTTACTCCAATCTTTGAACCGCTAAAATCCAATGTTCTTCTCAGATAATAAATATTATTTAATAAATATTAAATAAATTATTTATGTATTAACACTGATGTATTATTTCTTCTTCTCCTTTTTAAGACGCTGCAAGCCGAGTCAAGGCAGAAAAAATCCGCTTGGCGTTGGAAAAGATGCGCGAAGCCAGCGTTCAAAAGCTCTTCATCAAAGCGTTCACCTTGGACGGCAGTGGTAAAAGTTTGCTTGTAGACGAAGGAATGAGCGTAGCGCACGTGTGCAGGCTTCTAGCTGACAAAAATCACGTGCCAATGGATCCAAAGTGGACGGTGGTCGAGCATTTGCCTGATCTTTTCATGGGTAAAGATATCTTCATATCGTTTATTATTAAATAACGTAAAAAAAGTCGCAGACGTTTATATTGTAATTATGATTTCATTTTTCAGAGAGGGTATACGAAGATCACGAGTTGCTGGTAGAAAATCTTTTACTGTGGACCAGAGACTCGAAAAATAAGCTGCTTTTCGTCGAGAGGCCAGAGAAAACTCAATTGTTTCTTACTCCAGAGAAATTCCTTTTAGGTCCATCCGATAGGAGTAGCGGCGAATATGACGATCATTCGCGTAATATTCTTTTAGAAGAATTCTTTTCTAGCAGCAATGTTGGCGTACCAGAGGTAATTATACGTTAATATTGTACTCTCGATTTATTACATGCTAGTTTACGCTATCCTATCGGATCACTGTTTTTTTTTTTTTATCAAAAATTATGAAAGAAGAAAGATAATGTCTTAATAGGATGAAGTCGTTCATCAAGATGAATGGCATAAAAAGTTGACTGTATTTATTTATACGTCTCATCGCCCTATATATAAAATATAAATAAAACCTTTTGTCGATTGTTAAATTTATTATTGTATTAATTATGCAGGTTGAAGGGCCATTGTATCTGAAATCTGACAGCAAAAAGGGATGGAAAAGGTACCACTTTATTCTACGAGCATCCGGCCTCTATTATTGGCCAAAGGAAAAAGCTCGCACCGCTCGTGACCTGATTTGTCTGGCTACTTTCGACGTGAATCAAATTTACTACGGCATTGGTTGGAAGAAGAAATACAAAGCCCCAACAGACTTCTGTTTCGCTGTCAAACATCCCAGATTGCAGCAGCCAAAATCGACAAAGTACATCAAATTCCTCTGCGCTGAGGATAATGCGTCGTTGGAACGATGGATGGTTGGAATCAGGGTGGCCAAATATGGAAGACAGTTGATGGAAAATTACAGAACCCTGGTTGATGAACTTGCCCAGGAGGATCTCGACATGCTGGCCCACGCAAGATCCTGTTCTGTTAGCTCGATCGCTGTACCGGCACAGAATCAAACTCAGTACAACACGACCAACGATAACGCTCGTCAGTTCACGGAGAATTCAAGGCACAACGCGGAAGTAGCTAATACTAGACAGTATGACAGCCAGAGGCAAAGTTACAATTCTGAACAACGACAAAGTTATAATAACGATGGTAGACTGAGCAGAGCCAGCAGCTCGAGTTCCAGTGGATGCCTTTCTGATGGAGCACCCAGTAGTTGCGAGGTAATTAGACAGATTAACACATCCAAGATCGATGATGTGGATGTTGAAAAATCGTAACTGTGCTGAATCTTGTCAAGATAGATCAGTCTCCATAGCGTTTAGCATTGGACGACAACATATTTTTCCCTTATGTACTATTAAATGGTTACATTACAAGTATATTTTATTTTATATTGTAGGTAGCTTTCGAGTGTGGCGAGTTTCCAACAGGTACGATAAAAAGGAAGCCCTCGATGAATCCGAAATTGCCCTTAACATCGATCACGAGACAATTGAAGGAAGTAGGTGAAACAGTTCGCGATGAGCCGGATTCTTGTCCGAGTCCAACGAGCTCAGGTTCTGGAACATTGACCAGAAGGCATAGTCGAAGAAGAAGCGGCACTGATTCGGATGGATCTGGAACTTTGAAGAGACATCACCGATCTGGCAATGCGACTCCAGTAAGTCCTGTACCGCCTGGCACACCGGTTAGGGAACGAGCAAGTCCAATGGGATACAACAGATCAGAGAATCAGGAACCGAAGACACCAACGAGTCCGATACCATCGTGTATGGTGAGTATCAGACGTTTTCATACGTCTCATTTTTAATTACCAAGTTGATGAAAGAAGATATTAGAATGATGTGCTGAGTACAAAAGATTGAAATTCACAAATATACCATTTAACACTTTTAGAACAATCGTTAACGAGAAATGTCACGTTTGCAGATGGATTCGATCACTTCGTTACCACCACCACCATCACCCTCAAGAGTGGCGGAGGAAGGAGAATCCGACAATGAGCCACTTCCTCCACCTCCACCAGAAATGTTCCGATCGAATCTCTCCCTGGATTCTCTACCACCGCCTCCAGCACCTGGTGAACTGCCAATGTGCAACACTCCAGAGCTCACGGGTTCTTCGTTAAGTCTGGCATCTCTTCCGCCACCTCCAAGTCCTTTAGTCGGTGAAACAGGAACTATCCGACGCGCTAGGCCCAAACAATCCACACCTACAAACTCAGTAACTCCAGAGAGCACGCCAACTCACACGTCATCTAGACCGTCGACCAATCAGCAGATGTATTCGAATCCAAGCAACTCGACGATACAGAATAACCAGAGCTATAGTTCAAATACACAAAACGCTCTTCACGCGAACAACGCGACAAATTCGGTACCCTCTCCGCATAGTTCCTATCCAGGGTCCAGCGCCAGCACACCAACGTACGTTCCAAGTTCACCAAACTTTGCCTCGCCTCCCCCATTCGTTCCTCCGCCAGCTTATGGATCCCAGCAACAGCACGGCAACAGTTCAAGCCTGACGAGACAAAACTCAAAGGTAGAATCGATATACGGAACCCATCCGACGGTTCACCAACACAACACGGTTCAACCAATCAGGCCAAATCCGAACATGGACACTGTGCGACGAAGTGCCATGAAGCAAGGTTCCGGACATTACGCGGCTCCTCCTTATCTAGCAGAGTTGAAAGCTGCCTCGAGTCCCCAGCCTCAGCGTAGAGTAACTATTCAAGAACCACCAACGTCGCCCAAATCGAAGACGGGTACTGGCAAGAAGATCACGTTCAATCTTCCGCCTCAGCAGGAACCAGGGAGTCCAGCTTTGCCACAGCGAAAACCGATGCCACCGAGAAGGTCGGATAGCACGAGGCTCACATCTCCCAAGAAGCTTGCCGCATCTGATCAGGCACCTCCGGGTGATTTCTTAAAGGATCTTCAGAGAGTAATGAGGAAAAAGTGGCAGGTTGCGCAGAAATGTAAACTGGATTCGACCACCACTCCTCACGAAGTTCTTGGTTTTCGCGATCCACCGCCTGCTGTGGCTGATTACAGAGAGACCAACGTGTCGAACTGGGTTCAGGAACACTATGGAGCTGATAATTTATATGAGAATGTCTACGCGACGGATCCACACGCTCCAGTGGAGTACGCATCCAGTCCAGCCCGGCAATCAACTGTCAGGTTCGCAGATGAGAATCGCAGCATTAATATCGTGAACGCGATCGCCAGTAAAAGAAGGCCACCTCCGCCACCACCGAAAAGGGCAGAAACTACTCATCTGACCACCACCAGGGCGATGCACTGACAATAGCAGATACTTCAGCCCCATCCCGAAAGGCGATGGTTTTGCTGTTTGTGCAGCTGGTGGAAGGGCTAACAGAGGGCGAGTGTACGAGGTCCTAATAATCGAGTCTACACGTTGATCGTTCTCTGTGTCTATCGTATGCCTTCGAACGAGGCGACGAAGAGAAAAGCGGAAGATCGACGATTATCCTTGAAGAGAAGTTGAGCTTTATGTTGTTCGTCGTACGTCGCCAGTGTTTTGCATTGAATCACACGGCTTGCCTGGAAAATCCTTTGGTGTCTACCCAGAAATTCAAACAGCTGCGGCCCGTTTTCTAGGATAATCGATGTACAATCGTAGGGTCTCGAGGACAAACAGTCCGATCGATACTGCCAATCGAAACTGATCACGACGAACCGAGTTGACGGGTCACAGGCTCGAGCTCGGCCGGTCGAATATAGGAGAATTTTCTTTAGCAACAAGTTTTTTGGTATACCGCGAATCGGAGCTGCGGATTAACTTATCAACGAGTATCGATGTCAAACATCAATCTCAGCGCCGATATGTCGACGGCCGATCAAGTTTAGGGCGTAAAAGAAACAAATACTGCCGTATATATTGAGGATGTGATATAATAAGTCTTAAGCTGCTAATTTTCGTTGTCCCTTCGGGAGCTTGGGACGATTGTCGATTTCCAAGCGATTTCGATGTCGATTTTCATTTCGATACCGCCACCAACTTGCGATCTTTTCGGTTGGTGATGAACCGATTTAAAAATGATAAAAAAAAAATGAAAAAAAAAAAAAGAAAGAAAGATGAGAAAATAAACGCACGAGAATCGCGATCGCATTTCTCTGTGCAAATTAAATAATCCAGAGTTCACTAGGCTTAGCTAAGTATCTCTGATATTCGCTGACGCTCGTTAAATAAGATGAAAGGACGGTTGTTTTTTACATTATTCCAAAGGACAACAATTGTATCGTGACGTGAATAAAATGAATATGAACGATGAATACAAACGAGATGGAGATTTTGTTACTTTGTGGAGGAGGAGATGTTCCTCGTACACATGAAATGAAAAAAACGAAAACAAGAGGAAAAAGACACCGTTCACAGAACCATACGCAAGACGAACACGTACTGCGTTTTTTAAAAGCCTCGTACATAGGTGTGTATGTATATAAATGAAACACGTATGAGCGTTTATATCAATATATCGACTTTTTGATGCTGTATGTTTAGATGGTATCGTACGATATTGAAATATCCTCTGCGACGTGTACGCGATAACGCATAATCTATTTCGATGGACCTCGATCGTGAATTCTACGCGCGACGCTATTTGCTCTTTTGTCGCCGAGGCTATTACACACACAATACACATACACACAAGAATACATCCAATTTTTACGACCAACGCGATTGTTACGCCGACTCTTTAACGTATCGCGCGACCTACAACTCGAGATCTTGTTCATGAAATTTTCATCTCTTCTTTCCGTTTTCATTACGCTGCCTCAACTTCCTACTAAATTATCGATGACATGGGAACGTGACTCGTTAAACGAGACTTCGAAGCGATTGAACAATTTCGTTTTCGATCGATCGCAGGAAATACGTGGACTTTGAAATTTATTCGTACCGAGCTTATTACGTTAATGTAATTTTACCTTTTACTGACTGTACACTGTTAATCCGTATTTCAACGAGTGAAATAAGAAATAAAATAAGGATTCGATATTGTCAATGTTATATGATTTGGTGCACGATCGAACAAGACTTCTTCTTTTACTTTTCTTTCTTTTTTTTTTTTTTTTTTTT